GACACATCTATCCTTATGGAATTTTTGCACTCTGTGTTAAAAGAGGAAACTCTCAAATTAAGACACAGTTCCATGTACAGCTGCACCAAAAATAATAAAATACTTAGGCATAAACTTAACCAAAAATAATAAAATACTTAGGCATAAACTTAACCAAAGAGGTAAAGAGAAAAATTCCTGTATTCCAAAAACTATAAAACACTGATGAAAGAAATTGAAGATGACACAAACAAATGGAAACCTATTCCATGCTCGTGGCTTGGAGGAATCAATATTGTTAAAATGTCCATACTACCCAAGCCATCTACAGATTTAATGCAGTCCCTATCAAAATACCAACAACGTTTTTCACAAAACTAGAGCAGATCCTAAAATTTAGATGGAACTGCAAAAGACCCCGAATAGCCAAAGCATTCTTCAGAAAGAAGAACATAGCTGGAGGTATCACAATCCCAGATTTCAAGATCTACAAAGCTGTAGTAATCCAAACAGTATGGTATTGGCACAAAAATAGACACATAGATCAATGGAACAGAGTAGAGAGCCTAGAAATAAACCTTCACTTATATGGTCAATTGATCTACACCAAAGGAGACAAGAACATGCAATGGGGATAAGACAGTTTCTTCAACAAACGGTGCTGGGAAAACTGGACAGCTACATGCACAAGAATGAAATTGGACCACTTCCTTACAGCATACACACACAAAAAACCCCTCAAAATTGGCTAAAGACCTAAATGGGAGACCCGAAACCATAAAACTCCTAGAAGAAAATACAGGTAGTAATTTCTTGGATGTCTCCCAGAGAAACATTTTTCTAGATATGTCTCTTGGGAAACAAAAGAAAAACTAAACCGTTGGGACTACACCAAAGTAAAAAGCTTTTGCACAGCAAGGGAAACCATCAGCAAAACAAAAAGGCAACCTGCTGAATGGGAGAAGATATTTGCAAATGATATGTCCAGTAAAAGGTTAATATCCAAAATATATAAAGCACTTACACAGCTTAACACACATAAAACCCAAATAATCCAATTTAAAAATGGCAGAGCACCTGAATAGACATTTCTCCAAAGAAGACATACAGATGGCCAACAGACACACGAAAAGATGTTCAACACTCTTCATCAGGAAAATGCAAATCAAAACCACAATGAAATATCAGCCCACACCTGTCTGAATGGCTAGAATCCAAAACACAAGAAATAACAAATGTTGACAAAGATGTGGAGAAAAAGGAACCCTCGTGCACTTTGGTGGGAATGCAAGCTGGTGCAGCCACTGTGGAAAAGAGTATGGAGTTTCCTCAAAAAATTAAAAATAGAATTACCATATGATTCAATAATCCCCCTATTGGATATTTACCCAAAGAAAACAACAATAATTTGAAAATATATATGCACCCCTTTGTCTATTGCAGCATTATGTATAATAGCCAAGATATGGGATCAACCCAGGTATCCACTGATAAACTAGTGAATCAAGAAGAGGTGGTGTATTTTTACAGTGGATTATTACTCAGCCATAAAAATTGATGAGATCCTGCCATCTGCAACAACACGGATGGACCTAGAGGGTATAATACTAAGTGAAATACATCAGACAGAGAGAGACAAATGCCATGTGATTCTATTCATATGTGGAATTTAAGACACAAAACAAATGAACAAACAAAAAGACAGACAAAAAAATAGACAAATACAGAGAACAAACTGGTGGTTACCAGAAGGGAGGTGGGTAGGAGGATGGGGGAAATAGATAAAGGGGATTAAAAGTATACTTACCTTGGTGAGCACTGAGAAATATGAAATGCTGAGTCATTATATTGAAAACCTGAAACTATTATAACAAACACTGTGTGTTAATTCTACTTCCATTAACAAGAGAGAGAGAGAAAACTCTCATAGGTTTCTAGACAGAGAAAACCAGTAAGTTACCAAGGGCAGGGGCATCAGACTAGCATGAAACTACTCACCTGTAAGCTGGAAGCAAGAACACAGCAATGCTGTATTTATAGAAAGTTGAAGGAAAAGGACTGAGCTAAGAATCCTGATAATTATATACTGATATACTGATAAATCATTGTGTTATAAATAAAGATATATTTATTTATGTGTGATAAATAAAGATATACATGAGCTAAGAAGCCAAGAAATCTAGTCCTATATGAGGCCAAAACAAAGACATTTTTGGATATGGAGTGACTGAAGTGGGCCATCGATGAGCCATTGCTGAGGAAATGTGTTCCAACCAAATGAAATTGAGTCAGAAAAAAGTGTCATGGTAGGGGAAGATGAAGAGTCAAAGAAACAATGATGAGCAAGGAACCTTGTAATGATCAAGTCTAAAGAAATGATAAGGATGTGACTACGAACTATAAACTTTTCACTGAGGATTTCTTCAAACAGAAGAGCCATGTGGATTAAGAGGAGGTATTTAGTAGTTCAAAGTGAAACAGTGAGAAAGTACAAAAATTCTAAAATACCTCCTGTGGATGAGGAAGAGAGAAGAGATGTCATGGGTTGGTTTCTCTGGAAACAGGCAACGAAACAGAGTTTTGGGTGCAAGATACTTCATAGAGGTCCACACCTGTGTTAGGAGTTGAATTGTGTCCTGCACAAAAATATGTTGAAGTCCTAACCCCTGGTACCTGCAAGTGTGACCTTATTTAGAAATGGAGCCTTTGCCAATTGGTCACCAAGTTAACATGAGGTCATGAGGTTGGGCCCTCATGCAATGTGACTGGTGTCCTGATAAGAAGAGGAAAACGCTGTGTGAAGACACACACACGGGGAGAACCCTGATGACAGGACCCATGCAGCCGCAAGCCAAGGAACGACGAGGCTCAATGGCCAGAAGCAGGAAGAGGCAGGGAAGGATTTTACCCAGAGCCTCAGGGGGAGCTTGGCCCTGCTGACACCTTCACTTAGGGCTTCCAGGTTCCAGAACCGTGAGAGAATACATTTCTGCCATGTTGAGGCACATCTGTGGAGATGAAGAGAACCTTTGCAACGAGGAGGGAGGGAGCACAGCTGGGCAAGCAGAGGGAGAAGCCAGGCTCCCGTGCAGGACCCGTGAAGCCGGCCCAACTTGGTGGGCAGCTGCCTCATCATTCAGTCACGGGATGTGGGCAACCCCAGGGAGGCCATCACCCGGGTGAGGTGGCTCTCTGCAGAGGCAGACCCTGATGGAGCTGATAGGAAAGCATAGATTTTCTTAATGATTTAAAAATAGAATGATAGGGCGCCTGGGTGGCTCAGTTGGTTAAGCGACTGCCTTCGGCTCAGGTCATGGTCCTGGAGTCCCGGGATCGAGTCCCGCATCGGGCTCCCTGCTCAGCAGGGAGTCTCCTTCTCCCTCTGACCCTCCCCCGTCTCATGCTCTCTCATCTCATTCTCTCTCTCAAATAAATAAATAAAATCTTTAAAATAAATAAATAAATAAAAATAAAAATAAAAATAGAATGATAACTAAGCAGATATACATGGAATAAAATGTTTTTGTTGCTGGGAGGAAAAAATGGAATTATGATTTGGTTAATCCAGCAAAGAAGAAATGGGTAAAAGTAAATGTAACAATAAATTGTAGTTACTAGTAAACAAATATGATGGAAGCAAACCAAATATAATCACACGTCAATAGGGGCGCCTGGGTGGCTCAGTTGGTGAAGTGTCTGCCTTCAGCTCAGGTCATGATATCAGGGTCCTGGGATCGAGCCCCACATAGGGCTCCCTGCTCAGCGGGGAAACTGCTTCTCCCTCTCCCTCTGCCCCTCTCCTTGCTTATGTGCTCTCCCTCTCCCTCTCTCTCTCTCTCTCTCTCTAAAATAAATAAAATCTAATCATAACACAATAGATGTGAATTTGTTTAAATCCACTTTCGAATGACAGACTTTTAAATTGGCAAAAACAAAACAAAAGCCCGGTTTTAAGTTATTTGTAAGGAACACAGATAAAACAAAATGACAACTAAAAGAGTTAAAGAAATGGACAAGGATAAGCATTATTCGCTTATGCCAAGTATATGCAAATAAAAGGAAAACAGAAGTGGTGTACATCAACCACAGTGGAACCCAAAAGTAAAATTATTCAGTAAGAAAAGAAAAGGTACTTCTAAAAACAAAGAGTACATTTCACAAGGACACTGTTATACATACATTATACACTGGCCATCATTGTTATGGAAATTTTAAGGCAAAACCCAAAAAGAAACACAGGAGAATATGATAGAACTATGATCATACTATCATAACCCAAGCAGGAATAAACACCCTTATCCAAACATCTTTAAAGTTCTGGTACTTGTATTTCTCTGGGAAAGAATCTTAGAAGTTGGGCCAAACTTGGTAAGGACATTAACTATTTGAAGGACCATTGCTACATTCCTTTCTATAAAAAGGTTGAAGCATCGATCCAATGGTGCAGGAAGCCTACCTGTTTATTGACATACATATCAGCACTGGATGTCTACCATCTTTGAGATGTTTGCCAACCTGATGGGCAGATAATAGCATCTCAGTCATTTTAATTCCTGTTCCCTTACCACTAATGGGGCTTATCCTTTTCACAGGCTTATTGGTGATATATATTTCCAGTTCATATCCTCTGCTTATTTTTATAGTGTGTGGTTTGTCTTGTTTCTTTTATAATCAATTTGTATCATCTCCCAGTATATTAGACACTAATCCTGTCATATGAGCTGCAAACCATTGTTCATTTTTTTGGCTTTGTTTATGGTATCTTGTCATGTAGACATTTTAAATTTTTATAGGGTCAAATCTGCTCATTGTTCCTTTATGGGTTATGGATTTACTGTCTTACTTGGTAAGGCAACCAACCTGAAATTACACGCTTCTAGTTCCATTTTTAACATTAGGTCCTTTCTTTATTTTGGTTTAAACTGACTGCATTGTATTATCCCTATAGGCAGCTCTGATCTTTTTTGGGAGCTGAGGTAGAGATGTGAATAAATAATAACCAGTGATTTCTATTTTAACAGGAACTTGGGAAGGAAAACAGTTTCAACAATGAATAGGTCACCCATCATGACTGACTACAGATGACTTGCCATTTCATTTACAAAGGTAAGGAAATACAGTCTATGTTTTTAGTTAATTCCAACTGACTGACTGTTGTGCTCTACCTCTTTTATTTTATATTTTACAAATATTCTAAATCCTATTCTAGTTCATGACCTTTAACTTTGACATTATCAAATTTAAAACAAATGACAAGCAAATAGAAACATAGGAAATTCTGTGAATGTCAGCCTGCCTCAGGGGGCAGAACAGAACCCGGGAGATGTGGTTTCTGCTATTGATTACTGCATGCGGTTCAGTTTTTGAATAGCATTAGGGTTTTCCTTATTATCAAATGTAGAGTGTTCATTGCAGAATCCTTGGAGAATAGAGCAAAATATAAAAATGAAAACCCAAAGCATTCATAACCCCATCATCTGCAGATAATCACCAGTAGTTCTGTGAATTTCTTTCCTCCTTCCTTGCATACGCATAAATAAATGTATAATTATATATAATCTTTCTAAAACATACTTAGCTTCAGTAGTTCTAAATGATGTACCTTAACTGGTACAGGAACATAGCAAGTCTAAGAACAAATAGTAATTACCACTATGTCCATTTCAAATGGCCATTTGCAGTTCACTAGAACATTCCCCAGCATCTCATTTGCCTCCCCTGCACAGACATCCTGGTGATAGGTCCACATGACCCTGGTGAAACATCACCCTAAGAAACACCTTTGAAGTCTGGCAACATTTCACGGCATCCCTTTATCATTATTGTCTATTTTGTGCTGCTTAAAGGGAATTGTTTTTTAAAGAATAGAAGTTTATGTATTTCTCTCCTCCTCTTCCCTACTGTCCGTTCAGGGGTGTCCTACAAAGTAAAAAAAAAAAAAAAAGAGAGAGAGAGAGACCATCTCATCCTATGTCCTGCATTCATGCCAGCTAGCCAACCCCTCACTAAGGTGGTTTCTCCAAACACCCTTCAAAGTTGCTCTTGAAATTTTTTGGATTTCAAAGCTTCCAAGTCTTAGAGGTAAAATGACTGACACGGCATTTGTTAGTCCACAGTTGGTTAAAGAAAATCCAACTCTTACTGTCATTAACACATACAAAGTTGGAGACACAAACGTACCCTAGTAGAGATATGGGCTAGAGCTTCATACAGATAATTCACCAAAGAGATACAAAGAACCAAAGAAATGTGACAAAGATGTCTGTCCTTACCATGAATCATACAAATGCAAAATAAAATGATATTTTTGCCCAGAATTGGCCAAGTGTTTTTTTGTGATTTTAAGTGAAAACACTGGCGGCTGGTAGAGATTTAAAGTAGGTATATTTTACCCAGTAGACATTATAAGAATCTCTGGCAACTGTTTTAGACTTGCCTTTGGAAACATAAGAACAGAGAGTACAGTTTTATTTGTAACAGAAAAATAGGAAGCATCCTGAGTGTCCACTAATAAATCCCGAACCATGATGCATTTTTATGATAGAATTATTTAGATGTTAGACATTTTTTCTAATTAATATTTAGTGATGCAGAAAAATGTTTATGACAAAGTGGAAAGGGCAAATATAAGTTTGTATATAATGTATGATCCCAGTTTTGTTAAAGTAAACAAAGCACACATTTGAAAAAGATCAAATGGTAGAATAGCCAAATATTAACAATTACTATTTGGGGGTAGTTGGATTAAAGGTGATAGTTTTATTTTCTTCTTTTTCTTTCAAATATAATATCTGTTTTACTTAGGGAAAAGTTTTCAATTAGCAATAATCGCACCTCAGATAAACCTTATTGGCCATGGAAGAAAACAGATATTTTTTTAATTTAAATAAAATTACTTTTAAATTTTAAAACGACTGAAAAATAATGAACGGTTATACATTTGATTAAAAAAATCAAGGAGCCTTCCTCATGTATTGTGAAACTTTCATTCCAAAGTAGTTTGCAGAGAGTTTTGAGAGCTGGTTATGTCAGGAAAAGGAAAACGTGGCATATTCCGTAGTATTTTACATTTAAAAAAAAAAAGGTTTAAATGCTACATGGAGATGATTTCTATTGAAACATGTATAGTCTAAGTCTTTTTCACTGATGAAGGAAGTTATAAGGAGTTAATGACATGGCCATTTATTCCATGCCAGCTGTCTACAGTTCCCGCGCCTTTGGCATCTTCCAAAGAATCCAGCATACGGTGCGATTGATGGGGTTGGACCCCTAAGTTATGTCTTTATCCCCCTCCTTCAGGGAGTCAGCTTTCTTCCCAAGCACAAAACACCCAAGTAGCTAGAATCAGACGCTGCCTGCATTGATCTAATGGGGTGTTACTACCTTTCTTTATCAATTTATTTATCCATTCATTCTACAAATATTTACTCAGCACTTACTATGTGCCAGGTGTAGTTTAAGTGTTTGAGGTATATCAGTGAACAAAACAGACTAAAATCCCTGCCTCTGTGGAGTTTAAATTCTTCAGGAGGAGACAGACTGAAACAAACACAAACCCACTGTAATAAATAAGGAAACTCTGTAGTGTGTTAGATACTGATGAGTGCTATGGGCAAAAAAGGAAGGAAGGGAAGGAGGGAGGGAGGAGGGAAGGAAGGAAGATTAAGCAGAGTTAAGAGGAAGTGGGGGCAGGGAGGTGCCAAATAGGTTGTAGTTTAAAATAGGATCGTCAAGCTAAGCATCAGATAGAAGTTGACATTTGAACAAAGACCTGAAGGAGATAAGCAGGTGTCTGGGAAGGATTGTTCAGGCAGTGGGAATAGCTCAAGCAAAATGCCTTAATGTAGCTGCATTCTGGAGTGTTTGAGAAACAGCAGAGTATCTGAAGCAGGGGGGCGGGGAGCTCAGAGGTGCTTAGGTCAGAGGAGGAATGGGAAGAGTATGGGGAAATCATACAGGGCCACGTCAACCATTGTAAGACTTTGGCTTTTACTTTGGGTGAAAAGGGAAACCACTGTAGGGTCTTAAGGGCCAAGTGACATGATCTGATTAGGTTTAATGACAGATCACTCGGGCTGAGAGTAGACTGTCGGAGAGCAAGGGTGGCATCAGCAAGTCCCGTTGAGAGGCCACGACGGATAACACACTCATAAGAAGATGGTAGCTCTGCCCAGAAACACACAGCAGGAGGTGACAAGTGACTGGATTCTGGACATCTTCCGAAGGCTGTACTGACATATTGACCATGGTGTGAGAGAAGGAGGACTCCAAGATTTGGGGCCTGAGAAGCAAGAGGGTGGAGATGCCATTAAGTGAGATGAGGAAGGTCCAAGTGAAAGAAGTTTGAGAGGGAATGTCAGAAATAGGGTTTTAGGTTTGCAAAATTTGAGGTGTCTATTAGATATCCAAGTGGAGATACCAAGAAGACCATTGGATGTGCAAGTCTGGAGCTCAGAAGAGAGATCTAGATGGCATTTCAAGATTCCAAAGAGAGGATGGTTAGAGACGAGAACCAAGAAGTCCGTCTTACACACTCTTAACATTAACAGGAACCATCTTAAGAGACTGAGAAAGTGACCCAGGAGGTATAGGGAGGGTGTGGGTAAGAAACAAGAGAGTATGATGCTCTAGAAGCCAAGTGAAGAAAATCAGTCAAGGAAGAAGGAGTGATCATCTCTGTTGATAATCTGATAGGTCAGGCAAAATGGGGGTTTAGAGTTAGCCATTGGATTTGGCAACACGGAGGTCATTGGTGATTTTGAGGAGGAGGTTCTCAGGGTAGCAGTGAGAGCAAACCCCCGATTAAAGTGCATTAAAGAGAGAATGTCTGAAGAGGAATCAGGGCTCGAGAGGAGCAACATCTTTTTCAAGGAGTTTTGCTGCAAGGAGGAATAAGGAACTGAGGGGACGTTGGAATCAAGAAAAGGCTTTTAGTTTTTAAGGTGGAAGAAATGGTGGAACCCTGATGGGAAGGAAATAGAGTGAAAGACTGAAGCTGATACGAGAAAGGGGAGACCTGTAGGAGTGATGCCCTTGAATATGTGACAGGCTCTGCACAATTTAGATAAGCTTTCACGCTTTAGAATTATTAACTTCTGTCACATTCATTGCCCATATTTCCACCTTGTCATTTGCCTTTTAATTTGTTCATGATCTATTTTGACATTGAGAAGTTGACATTGACATTGAGACATAGTCAAATCAATTACATTTTCTCTCTATAACTTTTCGGGTTATCAAAATCTTTGCCTTTTCAAGGATCGATTATCAGATAAATACCTATATATTCTTTTTTTAAGATTATTTGAGAGAGAGAGAGAAAGAGAGAGAGCAGGGAGAGGGGCAGAGGGAGAGGGAGAGACTTCTCAAGTTGACTCCATGCCAAGCGCAGAACCTGACATAGGGCTCAATCCCGGGACCCCAAGATTATGACCTGAGCCAAAATGAAGAGTCAAATACTTAACCGACTGAGTCACCCAGGTGCCCCAAATACCTATATATTCTTAAAGTAATGATGTAATTGGAGCTTTTGCAGGGGGCACGATCAGGGCTTTGGTTTGGTGTTTTTACACTGAGCCTGTTATCATTAGACCTTTCAGATTTTATAACTCCACTAATAGAGTATTCACACCTCACCAAAATATTATGAAGAAACTAGAAAATCAGTTATTTTTAAAACGTATTAAGCAGATACAGTGTGGGAAACTGTAGCATGTGAAATAGACAGATTATAATCCAGTTAGTTATATGGACGCAAATGGGAATGTTAATTTATCTAAGAGAATGCTTGGATGGGCAGGGAGTAATAGGTCTGGTGAGGTTGCCATGATCCAGTCTTTAATTTTCTTCGATGGATTTTAGTCCTGTCAAGCTCATGGCAATCATTCAGTTCCAGTACAGAGAAACGGCTGGCAAATTCTTTATTTTTTTTTTAAGATTTTATTTATTTAATTGACAGAGAGACACAGCGAGAGCAGGAACACAAGCAGGGGGAGTGGGAGAGGGAGAAGCAGGCTCCCCGCTGAGCAGGGAGCCCAATGTGGGACTCGATCCCAGGACCCTGGGATCATGACCTGAGCTGAAGGCAGACACTTAACCGACTGAGCCCCCCAGGCTTCCCCCCCCCTTTTTTTTTTTAGAAATAGAGCACAGTGGGGGAGGGGTAGAGGAAGAGGGAGAGAGAGAATCTTAAGCAGACTCCACGCCCAGCTCCAAGCCCAACACCACGCTCGATCTCACAACCCTGAAATCATGACCTGAGACAAAATCAAGAGTCAGATGCTTAACCAACTGAGACATCCAGGCACCCCAAAACGGCTAGCAAATTCTTAGGTTTAACACACACTATATTTATTAAAAGCCCAAGATTTAAAAGGTGCTTCACCAACCCCAGTGTTCATCAGTAGATGAATGGATAAAGGGGATGTGATGTACACACACACACACACACACACACACACACACTGAACAATTACCCAGCCTAAGAAAGGATGAGCATGTGACAGCATGGATGGACCTAGAGGGCATTATGCAAAGTGAAGTAAGTCAGACAGAGAAAGACAAACACCCGATGATTTCACCTATATGGGGAATCTAAAAAACAGATGAACAGGGGCGCCTGGGTGGCTCAGTCGTTAAGCATCTGCCTTCGGCTCAGGTCACGATCCCAGGGTCCTGGGATCGAGCCCCACATCAGGCTCCCTGATCAGCGGGAAGCCTGCTCCTCCCTCTCCCACTCCCCCTGCTTGTGTTCCCTCTCTCACTGTGTCTCTCTCTGTCAAATAAGTAAAATATTTAAAAAATAAAAATAGGGCGCCTGGGTGGCTCAGTTGGTTAAGCGACTGCCTTCGGCTCAGGTCATGATCCTGGAGTCCCGGGATCAAGTCCCGCATCGGGCTCCCTGCTCGGCAGGGAGCCTGCTTCTCCCTCTGACCCTACCCCCTCTCATGTGCTCTCTCTCTCTCAAATAAATAAAATCTTGAAAAAAAATAAAAATAAAAATAAAAATAAAAAATAAAAATAAAGAACAGATGAACAAACAAACAAAAGCAGAAGCCGGCCCATGAATACCGAGAACAAACGGCTGGTTGCCAGAGGGGAAGGGTTGGGGGATGGGTAAAACGGGTAGGGGGGAGAGTGAGACACCAGCTTCCAGTTACGGAAGAAGTCCCGGTATAAAAGGCACAGCATAGGGAATATGGTCAGTGGTACTGGACAGTGTTATGTGGTGACAGATGGTAGTTGCACTTACGGTGAGCAGAGCGTAACAGACTGGTCAGATCACCATGTTGTACGCCTGAAACTAATACAACATTGTGTCAATTACACTTCAATTAAAAATTCTCTTATTAAAAAAAATGAAACAAAATAACATGTGCTTCAACGGCTTACAAGAAAGTCTGAGGTTACCCCTCCTTGGTGTATTGAATGAACTTCATGCAACAAGTTAGAGGTTGAGCCTCTAACTCTAGGTTTCCGCTCAGGTAACGATCTCGGGGTAATGGGATCACACCCCATGTGGGGCTCTGCACAGAGTCTGCTTGAGATTCTCCCTTTCCCTACGCCCCCTATGCTTGCGCTCTCTTTCTCTCTCTCTCTCAAATAAATAAATCTTAAAAAAAAAAAAAAGATAAGACCCTTAAGTGTCATGGTTCCCTGATTATGTAGTTATCTTTATTTGCCATATAAGTAACTGGCTTTAAAAATTCAGGTGAATTAATAGTTAAACGCAAAACTCTTAGCATTAAGAAGTGAAAGGAACATGTTTAAGTATCTGATACATCCCAGTGTAAAAAAAATATTTGCTCTAAAACATTGGAAGAAATCACAAAGGTAATCAGTAGTGTTGAGTGTGAAAAATGTAGAACTTCTCTATGTCCTAATTATAAAATGGAAGAGCAGCATGGAAAACATGAATAATGTGCTTGCAGACTGATTAATTACCTGGATACATAAAAATCAATAAGAAAAACATGAGTAACAATAACCATAGTAGGTAAAAATCAATAACTAAAACACAAAGAGCCCCGTAGATAAATGGAAACAATAACAGAAAACTCAGAAGAAGCACAGAGAGCTCAAAAAAGATCTGCCAACCATGTTAACCATCACTAATAATTTTCAGAAGTGCACATTAATATCAAGAGATGCTTTCTTTCACCTATGAAATTAGCAAAGAGTATTAAAATAATACTGCTAAGCATGTAATGAAAGAAGCTCCCACCCACTGATAATAGTATGAGTGGGTATATTCTTGGAAAGAGATTTACTCATATGTTTTTAATGACCTTGTAATTCTAGGAATCTAAGAAAACATTGAAATTGGACAAAAATAGAAGCACAGGGGCGCCTGGGTGGCTCAGTTGGTTGAGCGACTGCCTTCGGCTCAGGTCATGATCCTGGAGTCCCAGGATCGAGTCCCGCATCAGGCTCCCTGCTTGGCAGGGAGTCTTCTTCTCCCTCTGACCCTCCTCCTCTCATGCTCTCTGTCTCTCATTCTCTCTCTCTCAAATAAATAAATAAAATCTTAAAAAAAAAAATAGAAGCTCAAAATAATTACTGTTGTATCATTCATAGAAGCAAATCTCTTGGACCACCTCCCCATCCTTTAATATTAGCGTTATTTTTTTTATTTAAGTTCAATTAGCCAACATAGTGTACCTCATTAGTTTCAGGGGTAGTGTTCAGTAATAACATTAACATTATTAACTGACATATTAACACACAGTTGTGTTCATACAACAGTGTCTCTTGCAAGTAGAAAAAAAATCAATATTCTTACAATGAGATGTTGATAATCAAGTGGGAAAATGTTCACTGAAAACTTCTGGGTCGAGATGGTGTCCTAATATTTTTAGTATAATAGTACATGGAACAAAAGGGGAAAATAACTATGCCCAAATGTGAAGAGTGGAGTTACCCGAGGGCAGTAGAATTGAGTACTTTTCTTGTTATGATTTATATTTTTTGGTACTTTCCAAATGCTTTTATAGGAAGTATCTTTAATTAGAAGAAAGTTTTGTTGTTTTGTTTTTTTTTTTAAGACGTTATCGAAAGAAACTTGTACCCATGATCTGCACTGGGACTTCGATCCCACCTTTGGGAGAGCACACGGGGGCCAATAAAGTGTACTACCAAAATGATTTAGAGGTAAAGATTTATTTCGGAGAGATTGAGGGACACAGATTTTTTTTTTTTTTTTTTTTTTTTTTAGATTCTGAGAAATCTCTTCCTTTCGTGGAAACAGCAGTAATAACCACAAAAACGTAATGAACCAAACTCGATTCTCCAGTTAACAATATCATTAGTCTGTGGTGTTTCAGAGCAGAGTCATAAATTCACAGCGGTCCATTTTGCGCTTGCAGATGTCGTCTGCTGCTGAAAATGGAGATGCCGCACCTGGAAAACAGAGTGAAGAAAAAACTTATAAAAAGGTGAGTGACTGTTTTGTTTTCTTTCTTCAGCTCAGAAAAAGGAACACTTTCATTGCTTGGAATGTTAATCTCGCCTCGGCCTTTTCTCCCTATAAAGCAGTTGTGGGTAAGTTAGTGCCTTAGCTTCTTGTTGCTCTCACAAATTACTACATGTTCAGTGGTTCCGATGACACGGATGTATGATCCTATAGTCACAAGGCTGACATGGGTCTCCTTGCGCCGGGATCTGGGTGTCTCCAGGGCTGCATTCCTTCCTGGAGGTTCTAGGAGAGAGTCCGTTTCCTTGTCTTTTCTAGCTTCTCCAGACTGCCTTCCCTGTCTCATGATTCCCTTCCAACTTCAAACCAGCAAAGACCAGCTGAATCTCTCTCAGGCTATATCACTCTTGACACTTTCAAGAATGCTTGGGATGGCTTGTAGCCCTCCTAGATAATCCAGAATAATCCCTCGATTTTAAAATCAGCTGGTTGGCAACCTTAATTTCTTTTGCAACCTTAACTACTCCTCGACATATAACATATTCGTGGGTTGCAATGATTAAGAGATGGACTTCTTTGCAGGGGTGGGTGGGTGGGGAGCATCTTTCCACCTACCGCAGTTACCATGCTATAGAACATTGACAGAAGGCAATTATTTGAAGACCCTTCTTATTCCTAAGAAGAAAGCCCTTATATGTGCGCAGTGTTCTGTGTCTACTATGTGAATCTTTTTTTTTTTTTAAGATTTTACTTATTTGAGAGAGAGAGAGCATGAGCAGGGGGAGGGGCAGAGAGAGAGGGACAAGCAGACTCCCCGCTGAGCAGGGAGCCTGACCTGGGTCTCCATCCCAGGACCCCGAGATCATGACCTGAGCTGAAGGCAGACGCTTAACCAACTGAGCCACCCAGGCACCCCGACCCCCGGTATGTGAATCTTTTAACTGACTTGCCACTTCCCACCAAAATTTTACACAATTTTTACCTTTGTATTTTGGAAAAAAAAAAAAAAAAAGGAACATGAAATTCTGCCCCATCCCTTTCTAAGCCTCTCAGATTCCCTGTCTTCAGCCCATTTCACAAAAATCCCCTTCCAGATGTTCCAGGGTATCTTACCTTGCCACTCTTTGACTTTGATAAATACTTCGCTCCTGGCAAGGAAGCTAATGTTCAGACACATTACTGGGGAGTCTATCTTCTCAGGCACCACTGTTCCTGCTTCTAAATTGACTGTACATTTTACTTCTAAAAGTCCTTGCCCTCCTTCTGTCTTGGGAGTAGGACGTTTGTGTATTGAAGGTTTGTTCTATCTTAACTTTTCCATTTGCCTTTTACTCCTTCATGGATAGCTAGCAAGGCTTGTTGTCATAAAGTACACGAACCGTCTGATCCAACCACATGTTCGTTTGGGTCATGGAATTATCATATTTCCTGCTCCATTTTGATATGGGAGACTCTGCCCTTTTTCCTGATAAGTCATTTCTTCTGACTTTCCTGCTCAGCCAAACGTAGAAATATAACCAGGGAGTTGCCGTCCAAAGTGATGGTGTGGTTGGGGCAGAGTAGGGGTAAGATTCAAGAGCTCAGATGTGCCTGGTGATAGGGTATAAAATTTGTCAGTCTGGCCACAGACTGTACATGGTTACTTATTTGTAGACGCAGGTAGAAAACCAAATCCCAATCCCATCTCTTTTACCCAAGGCTCCTAGTAAATTCAGTCAGCGATATACGCTTACTTATTTGTAGACCCAGGTAGAAAACCAAATCCCATCTCTCTTACCCAAGGCTCCTTGTAAATTCAGTCAAGCGTGAGAACCAGCAGAGAGATGATCAAGTTGCCAGCCCGTCACTGTTTCAGATCTGTTTCGGGTGGTTTTCTCAGGCACCATCCAGATGCGCTATGGTTCTTGACTGACCTCCAACCCACAGGACTTCTTTAGTGATGCAGAAGTAACACAAGGAGTGTGACCATGAGATCTTGGAGTTTGCTCAGTTTGTCTTGCCCACAAATTAGTAAAGCACGTATTCAGTAACATGAATATGATTCTGTGATGAAGACCTCTAATAGCGTATTTGACTCCACAGTATTGGTAAGGTTATAAGAACTAAAAATCAGATATTTAGATTGCAAATAATGCCAATCCAAATAAATAAGAGTAGGTGTAGGAAACTTGACAGAAAAATGCCTATGGTTTATTTTTTTAGTGTGTGGTGGCATCGGGAGCTTTTGGATGATCTCTGTTTTTAAGAGGAAGATAATCAGTGGAGGAAGACGTATTTAGCTTCTCTGAGAAAAACACCAAAAGACAGTACAGTGCATGAGTCTTTAGTCCTCAATAAATACGGTGTTGATATGCAGAGAAAGAAGGGGCTACGCAGAGAAAGTGTTGTTTTTACACATTTAACAGCTCAGCTGAACTACTCAATTTAAGTCTTCTCCATGAAGCAAAGAGATCTTCACACTGGAGGTGTTCGTAGTGGAGTTACCAGAAGTGATAAGAGTCTCATTAGCTGGGGCGCCTGGGTGGCTCAGTCATTAAGTGTCTGCCTTCAGCTCAGGTTATGATCTCAGGGTCCTGGGATCAAACCCCTCATCGGGCTCCCTGCTCAGCAGGAAGCCTGCTTCTCCCTCTCCCACTCCCCCTGCTTGTGCTCTCTCTCTCACTGTTTCTCTCTCTCTGTCAAATAAATAAAATCTTAAAAAAAAAAAAAATAAGAAAATAAGAAAAACCCACCTATTTAAAAAAAAAAAAGGTCTCACTGGCTGTTGGAAAGTGTTTGTCTCTAGGCCCAGATGAACCATTTCCCAAATGAAAAAACTTGAAGCTAGGATAGAGAAACCACTGAGTGTGAGCTTGGAAAAATTGGGACAGTGGAAGACGTAGCAAAAAGCAGGAGATAAATATCATCCCTCTTTTCAGCAATGAGGAGAAGGTACATTCTGGAAACCAGATGTGGCTCTGTTCCTTGGCATAATTTCAGGACGGGTTAGTCAACATATGGTGTATGTACGTTTAGAGAGGCAACACATGTCTTTTACAAACCTGCAGAGGTTCATAAAGATACAGTTTATGTCAAATTAACTACATTTTCTATTACAAGAGAGTCATTAAATTAGTCACAGATAAGGAGAATTCTCAAGCTTAATGAATCTTGATTTAAGGGCACCAGGAACATTGTTGCGATCAGACAAGGTGGAGAAATACGGACTGAATATTATCAGTGGTAGGCTTGCAGCTGGTTGGACTAACGTTTCCAACGAATGAAGGTTTTGCTTCCTGTCATCTTGGCTGTACCAGCATGGTGCTTGAGTTGACCCTGTGTAGCTTAATATTTTTTACCGATGACCTTCATGAAGACATAAGATTTGTGCTGGGCCAATACGCAAATGACAAACAACCGGGAAGGTGTAACTAATAGACTAGCCGAGTGCCCTCAGGGCCACCTTGCATTTCATTAAGTATTGTCCCTTTTACAAATACTTGGAAGTTACATTTCTTTCCCGGTCCTAAAGGCCCGATGACGTATGCACCTTTTTAATAAGGAGCTTTGATGACCCGTTGGGTTTTTGTCTCTGACTGAAAGCAATCCAGGTGAAGAACCACCAGACCTTATGTGCTGGACAGGGGAAGGATATCAAAGGAGTTTATAAGGACCTTACGGTTAAGTGGGAGGGGCAGGACATGAAAACAGCTTTAGAACACAGTAGTCTGTAATAAAGAGTTCAAAGGAGGAGAGATCGCTATGGGTTAGAGTTAACAAGGAGGCTTGGGCTTCCTGTATTGAGCCCCAGATTGATTGGACAGCTGCCAGCCACACTCAGCATCACGGGTGCTGGGATTTCGACGTTTGTAGGGAACACTCAGTGTTCATGGGACAGCGCTATCCTCTGAGTCTTGATTATCTGCGCATGATTCCTGAAGCTGGCTGCTTTTTGTTCTTTCCATTAGCCGTTTCCCTAATCCATAACCAGTTCTCGATAAGCTGAAGAAGAATAGCTAAAATCTGTGGGTGAGGCTCATGTCTCCAGCTCATAGTCGAAAACAAGAATTCAAACAAGCATATTGCCCACGAAGGCCGGGCATTAAAGGCTGCCTGGCTGTGTTTACGGAATGTAGTGTTTCCATTCTCAGCTCATCAGTCGTGTGTCTTCCGAAAGACTTGTAAACACAAGAGCCTGCAGTGGCCAAGCAAGTGACAGGGGAGGGAACTAACCTGGGGGAAGTAGTCAACCGGAGAATATGTCTTTTTTAAAAGGGCAAGTGGCACTCAGTACCATCCAGTAGGGCCATGTGTGAGTGCCCGCCCAGGCACACTGATTTTCAAGAAACTAAAACGTGCGCTCCGATGCAAAATCTCCCAGTTGTTAAACGTTGGCAGCCGATTGAGAATTTTTCAGAACTACACTCTGGGTAAAGGTACAGATTACTGATCATGCCTGACCTTCACACGATGGCCAGTCTGCAACTTCCGCACTGTTTGAGGAAAGACATGAGGTAGGAAGAAAGGAAGATGCAAAAGAAATGCACATCAGACCTGCTCCCTGCCCTCTATGACCATACAGTTTATTTAAGGTAAAAAAGACCCCCATGAAAAAATTAAACAATGACTCAAATGGGTATTAAGTGCCAAAGCAAGTGGCATTTCATGTAATCCTCTAGCAAGTGCTGACGAGCCCAAAGCTTATTACAGTCTTCTGGGGAAAAGACCTTTTCTCCAACTCCTTCATTAGCAAGAGCATTTTGCTAGGATGCAAATTTTGTAGATGCCTCATGGTTTTCTGGCACGGTGCAAAATCCCACTCCTTGGGTGACTGCGAATTGATTTGTTTCAGTGGTGGGGAATCCGATGAGCGCAGGCACAGAATCAGGACTGAACATGATTTTTTGGAGAAGAGGAGAGCCTTGCCTGGACAAAGCCAAGTGTCAGTGTTTAGGGAAAGTGCAAGCGATGTGGGGGGTATGTGCTGGCTCTAAGTGACAGGTAGCCTTGAGAGCTAGTTTGAGGGGTGTGGATTTTATGTTC